TATATAGCCATGACTTAGATTCAATTGTCAATCCAGGATCCAGTTCAAGCAAGAAGTCGTTGTCAACCTCAGGCGTGTAATGTTTATCATTGTTAGCAGAACGCTGACCTCTGATGATACCCTTCATCATATACTTGTGAAACTCTTGCCGTTTAGTAGAATTGGTGATCAAAGTAAATGGACTTCCAGCAAGTGGGTTCACAGTGGAGGGAGCAGTTGTTTGCTTGCTTTTTTTAATAGCCTGTGACCCTGGTGTGAAGCGGGAGGGTTGGACAGCTTTGCGTTTGGGGCGGTTGTTAACTTGTGGTGGCATATTCAGTGAGACAGAGGTTTGAAGTGAGACTGATTCGACCTAAAAAGGATAGTTTATGTATAATATGTGTTAGTAAATTGTTAAAAAGAGGTTAATATTTGAATGTGAAAAGATAGCAATGAAAAATGAACGCACTTCATACACAGTTGCAGCATTGGCAGGCACGTTAATAACTTCACACAGTGGTTGAGTTGGTGGTGGTATCTGGAAATAGATGGAAAGATTGCATAAACACGAGGTTTGGGTTAAAATATTATTGTGTAGGTGAATAAAGTGCAGGATTAAGAGTGATAGACATTGTGGTGTGTGAATTGAAATAAACCATTGAAATGAGGTGAACGTTAAGACAGAAAGATATGTTACTAAATGGCATGGTTTCTCGCTCACACCCTCTTTGGCACAGGCCTTTGAATCAGGGTTGGAATCGATCACATGTTTGCAACAATAGTGTTTATGTGTTAGTAGTAAATTAGACTTGGCGTGCATGGTATGTAGTTTGTGTGTAAGAAATGCCTTAGGTGTGACTATAGTAGTGTGAATGAGTCACTGGTGAGTACACAGATACTTGGGTGACTAGTAATTAAAGTAACTAAACAATTTATGTTTTAAAAAATTTGTGTGTAGTTGAAAAGTTCATGGTATAGAAAATATGGACCTCTAGATTATTGTAACTGAGTGCAGTAGCGCTGTTTGAGCATCCCCTATCACCTGAGCTTGTTTGAATCTTATCCTTTTTGGAACCCTCAAGAAAAGCAAATCAAGGAATTAAGAGGTCATAAAAAAACGAATGTGTGTATGTAGAGTAAAGTAAAAATTTAAATGGTATGAACTATGTGATAGATAGTGAACTTGCTGAAGGGGTTGTTGTCTCCTTTAAAGCTTGTGGGGTGCATACATTGGGCTTTGGTAAGCAAATGGTGGCCTGCTTGAAAACAAAGTACATATAAAGGCAAGGATAAAGTGACTGAATACTAAAGTGTATCGCACTTAATATGTACAGAATAGTGGTTATTACATATTGGAAGGTGGTAAGGAGGTTTAATAAACATTTAACGTCATAACATGAAGGACTTACATTTCCCTCGAGCATGTCATATGCAAGGTCAATGGCTTGAGTCACTTCATTTGTTTGACAGGGGACAGTAGGTGCGAGTGAGATATGAAAAGATGGGGCGTGTGAAGGCACAGGTACTGTGGTATGTTGGGAATCAGATTGGTGTGGTGGTGAAGCATTCTGTGGGGAAGTTGGTGGGACGGTGTTATTTGTAAAAGTTGTGGTGGACTCCATCTTCTGCAGATCAGCACGCAACTTCGCAATGGTATACTCTTGCAGCAAACTTTTGCTGATATAAAAGGATGTCTTTGTTAACTGTGATGAGCTGTTGTTCTAGTGTATTCACTTAGGCTCTCAGATCATCATGGGAAGTCGCATCAGCGCAAGAAGATTCACTTGGATGGCCATTGGGTGACTGGATAGTGATATTTTGTTTTGTTTGCACAGATGGGTCTTCGACCTGGTACACACAAGTGAGGTTGAGATGGATGCAACATTAAGAAGTTGGGGGATCTTTTTTGTAGGCTGAGATGATAAACTGGGACTGCGGTTAAGAAGTGTGTTAGAGGTAATTGGGGGGTGTCGGGTTGAGGATGCAGAAATTTTGGCAGTAGCAGTTGACAGGAGGCACTTTTACAGTTTTTTTTGGAACGAGAACGCTCACCCAGGACTGCATTTTGGATTTGCATTGGAACATATGCAAACTATAGAAAAAAAGTTAAATCAAATTATGGATTAGGATGATGAATTGTAATGTAAGCAATAATTATTTAAATAAAAGATTTAACAGTAGACTTGCATGCTTCCTGCAGAAAATTGTGTTCTTCAAAACTTCTGCACTCGTTTTGCTTGTGGAAGTCCATTTCAAGCAAAGCGGGCGGGCAGTTGGGTCAACGCATTGAGCTAGTTCAATGTCTGTCAGTGTTGGAAAACTCTCGAAAGCCCATATTTGAAGAACAAGGACACAACCGTATATATTGTAGTGCTCAGGATTGGACTTCATGCTACCAACAGATGCTCTAAAATAGGTATCCATATCATCCCATATAACGCGTCCCCATGGATACTTGTTAAAGTTTTCTAAGTTATCTACCAGATTAAGGTACTTACCTTTCAAAGTGACTTGACCTTCAGCCGCTAAAAATGATTGAGATAAGACATGTAGGAGAGACAACTTAACAATCTCGTTATCTGACACACTACCCCTTTTTATAGATTGTAAGACTTGCTTAGCATTCCTCTTTACAAATTTAGACCAAGAGGGGAAGTATTTCTCCCAAATACGACCCCTATCAGTGACTTCATTATCTACCTGAGGAATGTTATCAACGACATTGAATCCAAAAATTTCAGACAAGTGAGATATTGAGAACACTACCCTCCTACCCTCAATTTCAAAAACAAAATCCCTAGGACACTCCTTGTTGCCTCCTTCAACATCAAGCATATTACCCAGAAGAAAATGCAAAAGCAGCCCGGAACATAACATCTCCTTGGCATCTAGGAATTTCCCAAAAACAGTTTTCCTAAACAGTTCTACCTGATTGGGAAGTAATTTAGACCTCACTAGATTGATTGCATCATACAACCTACAAAACGTATTGACCTTCCTTTTTAAGTCCAAATTGGCAATGACTTTGTCCAAATATCGTTTGCCTGCCTGAAAACATATTAACACAAGCACATAGTCATAACGCATACTGCAAACAAGTGATATATTAATTGTGTATAGGATAAAGAAACTTACTACTTCCTCATTATCTACGGAATTTGCAGCTGAAGGTGGAAGGGGATGTGTGGATACGAAGTCACTATCACCCATCCCTACAAAAATGACGAAATAAAAAAATATACAAATACGTGTGAGGTGTGATAACGAGGAAGTAAACAGTGACTACTAATTATAGATGAGTTGAAATATGTGCTTGTCACTATGAATGCATAAATTATTTACTAAATAAAAGTGACTACTACTACTAGATGAGTTGGAAAATTGGCAGTTCGTATGAAGCAAGGAATGAAACGGCAGAAGGCGATTTTCGATGTAGACTTCGAAATTGAAATGGAAACTAATTTAACTAACAAATTGAATACTTTTTGTTTATATACTTATGTAGTCCAGCATAGACTTTCCAAACGTAGTACAGAGCTCAATACAGAAAGGTTGATTACAAATACAATAATTTGAATCAAAGTCCAATACAGGGAAGAAGTATCCCAGAAAAAGCAACAATCAGCTATGAAACACAAAATTTGTGTTGGCCAAAATAGAAAAAACATTTAAGCTAATTAAAATGCAGAAGAACAATATGAAACTTAGTAGTGACTAGTAATAATAAACTTGTAACACTCCCAAACTTGTAACACTCCCTGATGGTGTTAAGTAAGGAAGGAGCAAGAACAAGTTAATTGGCTCATTGGACTACCAATTTCAAATGGCTCCTACTTGAACTAACACAATGGCAAAAAAAAACTCATATCTCTGTCTGAATATAGAATAGTTTTGAATGCTAAGTGACTACTTTACATGCATCACTGAGCAAATTGTATTTGTCAATATGAATAAGCATGAGTACAGTGTTCATTTCACAAAAACAAGCATAAGCTTTCCAATTGAAGTTCATAACATATTCATGAAACGTTGATCAAATATTAAGTACATTGAATCCGAGTCCAAAAAGGGTAAAAAGAATCCCAGAACAAAGCAAGAAGAACCCATTCAGCGAAAAGTCATCGCAAAAGATGAATAACACATATAATCTAATTTAAATGCAAAAAAACAACATGCAAGGACCATGACACAGAAGTCGAAGACATATTCAAATATAAAGTAATGTTTAATTATTATGCATTTAACTGCACATATTCCAGTTCTGGATTAGGGTTTGAGAGTGAGAAAGACATGGAAATCGAAAATAAGAGTAGAAACTGTAAAGAAATCGTATAATACACATGATATTCGATTAAACGAGAAGTTTGGTCTTACCAGAAGTTTTACTGGTTCCCTGCGAGTGCCAGACGAGATTTTGGTCTTCAACGAAGGCGACAGAGATGTAGCGTCGTCGAGAGAAGGAGAGCTGATACTGTCGAAGATAAAAATTAGTAAGAAAAGAGACGAAGGTGGTAGAAAATGAGCAGAGGACTCCCAGAAGGAATGTCGTTAATGGAAGAGAGAAAAAAGGCGGAAACAATTAATGACCTGAGGTCACTTTTTGGGAAAACTAAAAAGGAATCATGTTTTTGGAATTCTAAAGTGTAATAATAATATAGAGGTCATTCTTTCTAAATATATTATCGTTTATTTTACATGCAAAAATTGAAGGATGATTCACTTTTTAGTCTTTTTAAATGCTACTCCCTCCGTCCCTAAATGTTTGTCACACTTTGACTTCACTAGTTTTAAGGAGATGAATTTGACTTTACACTGTAGCGACACTGTTTCACACTGTAGCGGCACTGTTTGACACTGTTTGACACTGTTTTGCACTATTTGACATTGTTTGGTATAGATTTGTTTACCAAATAAAGAAGTTGAAAAGGTATGACAAACATTTTGGGACATCCATTTCGGGAAAGTGGGACAAACATTTAGGGACAAACATTTAGTCAAACTTTCTGCATATCTTCTTCCACCAACTCCTCAGTCTTTTTTCTTCCTAAACCTTCCACCTTAAAATGTCTAACATTCATCCACTCAGAATTCACTGCCTGTTGTCTCCTAATCAACGCCACATCTCTCAAACTTCTGCCCGTTTGCCTCCCCAAACTCGCTGCTTCAGTTTCAGCGGTCGCCCTGTGCCCATATCACTCCGGCGGAATGTTGACCTTCTTCCTCGAGCCGAAGACGAAGCCAGAGGCTCTTCACTTTCCACTCAAGAATCGTCTCAACCTCCGGTTCACCCCCTTTATTTAAGCGGTTTTGGAATTTTAATGACTACTGTTATCTGATTCCTTGTACTCGATTTTAATTGTTTGCTTTGCGAGAATTTAGCATTTTTGTATTAAAAGCTCTAAGCTTTCCTGTTTTTTTATTGACTTCAGAGCATTTACCTTGCTGCGGTATCTTGAACCTTTTGGTGTCAAAAAATTCTGTTGAATGGCTGAATTTTCTGAATTTTAGTTTGACTGGGCTGGATTATGTGAAATGTATAAATGTTTTTAAAATAAATTCCATGAAGCTTTATGTAAAATATGAGATTAGAAGCCTAGAGGGGTCAGATTTGTTCATTTTTGAAGAAAAAAGAGAAAGCTAATCATCCTATTTCAGCTAATGCAGCATAAAGGGCCTGTTGGTTAAGGTTTATTAGGCTGCAAGGTCTGAGTTTGCTATATTTTCTAGTAACATTCATTTTAACCAGATAAGCAAGCCAAAAGCTACTTATTATGTTTTAGATAAGGCTACTTAAGAGAGCCTATGTTTGAATCAGAGTGATATTTAGCATGGGCTTGCCTTATACATTATATTGTTATTTCGTGCGGAACATATGCTTGCGATTTTAGGTAAATGAAATTTTGAAAAACTATTACACCAACGGTATGGGAGTGATTGACTTAATATATTTTAGATTCAGATTATATTCTACACATCTTATGTACCTCACCTCAAATGAGTATACATACATTCAGGAATGTACACCTTCCTCTGAAGCATGTGATCCACTGTGTTCTGTTGATGAAACGAGCTTGCAAGATTCTGAACCCAGTTACTATTCAAAGATAGATTTACTTAAAGCTCTTTCAGTTTTTGCCGCAGCAGCTACAGGAGCTGTGGCTATAAATCATTCTTGGGTTGCTGCAAATCAGGTTTCTTATTCTTGTGTCCTGAATCATTCATTTCTTACGGTTGTGTTTGGAACCCGAAAATGGTAGAGAATGGAAATTAATGGTAAGTGATACAGTCTTTTTTCTTCATGTTTTTTACATAAGAAAAATAAGAATGAAAATCAAATTTGATTAAGACCTTTTTAATTTTTTTTCATATACTCCATATTAAGATTTCTTAGTCTTCATGTGTAACATATACATAAAATGAGTTTGAACTTTGACCATCATTTTCATTTCATTTTCATTTACCCCAGTGCCGCAAAGGCTCCCACCTACGGTGGGGTAAGGGGGGGTCGGATGTACGCAGCTTTACCCCTGTACTAAAGCACAGAGAGACTGTTTCCGAATGACCCATCGTGAAAATCCCGTCCAAAATTGCATGGACTGACTGCTGCTTCATAACAAAGAAGCGCAGACAGTTTAGTGAGCCATTTTGCTTTATTCCATCATAATCTCAAGCCAAAAAATAATGAATCTTTGGCTCCATTGCAAATGATGGAAAGAGTTTGAACTTTGACCAAATAACTAAAATTCTTTTATTGAGTTGGATCCAATTTTTAATCCCCCCACCCACGTTTTTCATTCCTTCCAAACCCCCTTTATTTTACTCCAAATTTTCTTTCTTGTCTTATTTCAGGTTCCAAACAAATCCTACAATCAATTTCCCTTTCAAAATTTCTTGTTGGGTTGATCAGATATCCTACTTCAGGATATTGCAATGTCATTGTTGTTTGCGATAGGATATGTTGGCATAATATTTGAAGAGTCTCTTGCCTTCAATAAGAGCGGGGTAGGGCTTCTTATGGCTGTTAGCTTGTGGGTTGTGCGGAGCATTGGGGTAAGCCTCCTACAGCATGTGTAGACTATGAGACAGTTTGGGATGCTTATGGTAATACGGGTACAAGTTCCTGTATAATGAGCTCTTTTTTAGAAAAAGCGCCACCGATCTGTTTCTTTTTAAACCAGGCACTAAACATAATTTTTAACCGTAAAAAGAGCTTTTCCCATTTTCTCCGCAAAACGCTTCTTTTGAATTAAAATTACTTTTTGTTTCCCCTAAAAAGCATGTATTATTTTTAAAAAAGTCAACTCATGTGCTCTCAATATCTACTCATTTTGTGCTCTCTGTTTTGTTCATACTTCACAACTTCATGATTTCCACAACATTTATAATCTTACATAAATAGAATGGAATAAGTAAAAAAAAGCTTTCTTTTAGTGATTGAAATGTTTTCCTCCGAACTGTAAGAAAATTAAAAGAATAAGAGAAACTGAAACAAATGGAAAGATCGCATAAAATTTTAAAAGACCGCGTGAAGGAATATCAAGTCCATATATAGTAGGCGAGGAATTAAAACTGGCGTAGATACATATTTTACCCATGTGAACATAAAACAAAACTAAAAGTGTACTTTTAAATGCCACTCTTGCAAAACCTAAATGACAGTTTTCCACGTAAAATGAATATGGTAGAGCTCATTAACTTTATATTATTTCATTTATTGCTTTCTCAGGCCCCTTCAACTGATGTAGCACTTTCAGAGCTATCGCATGCTACTAGTGAAATTAGTGAAATACTGTTCTTTCTGCTTGGTGCCATGACAATTGTAGAGATAGTTGATGCTCACCAGGGTTTTAAGTTGGTTACAGATAACATTACTACTCGCCAGCCAAAATATCTGCTTTGGGCGGTTGGTGATACTTATGTTGTATTTATTTATTTATTTATTTATTTATAATTTATCCTGTTAAACCCTTTGCAACTTGCATGCTAATTAGAACTAACTTTCATATAGGTAGGTTTCCTGACCTTTTTTCTTAGTTCAATCCTTGACAACCTAACAACTACAATTGTGATGGTGTCCTTGTTAAGGAGGTTGACACCTCCATCAGAATATCGGAAGTGAGTGCAAACACTACTGATCTTTGTCACCTAATCCCTTGAAATGATTTCTATTTGCACTCTTTATATAATTCTATTTTATAAAAAATGAGTTTGAGCAGACATCTAAAATTGATTTTATGGAGTTTGATGCATTTATTTTAACTTTTCCCTGAATTTCTTCTTTTTTCAAGTTTCCCATGTATCTCCATTTTATATCCTAGAAATTCTGGGGTCCCAAATGAAATCTTGGTTAATGTGTTGCAAATTATGTTCGCAGACTTCTTGGTGCGGCTGTGGTGATTGCTGCAAATGCTGGCGGAGCATGGACTCCAATTGGTGATGTTACAACCACTATGCTTTGGATTCATGGTCAAATAACCACACTACCAACAATGAAGGTTTTAATTTTCATAGAAACATCATACTCCCTCCGATTCCTAAACAAGTTCCACATTTTACTTCACACATATTAAGAAAATAAAATTGACTTTACTGTGGAGTGCACTGTTTGGCACTGTTTGAACACTGTTTGAACACTGTTTGGCACTGTTTGACACTGTTTTGATGTAGATAATAAGGAAATGTTTGAAAGTGGAACTTAATTTTGAATCTGCCCGAAAAGGAAACGGAGGGAGTATTTGTTTTGTCTTACCATTGAATGTTTTGGTGATAATTAAATTATTTACTATATATTGATGAGGGTATTGTGCATTGTCAAATTTCTTCTGAAATATTCCATAGTGTAGAGCTTGGGAAAAGTAGTTCTGATCATTGAAGTGATTACATATTTTTTTCGAAAATAAAGATATACTTCACGTTGGGTCCAAATTGTTTTAACTAACATTTTGTAAGAAGTTTAATTCAATTTTACCTTTTGCAGGGGCTATTTTTGCCATCATCAATCTCTCTAGCTGTTCCATTAGCTTTAATGTCTCTGGCGAGGTATTATTCTTATTTACTATGCAAAAGGCCTTAAGAGGCTTTGAAAAACTCTCCCTGCCCCAATCCCAAAAAGAGAGTCCTGATTCAACACTTATTTGTCTCCACCCAAGAATCATATATCAATGAGAAATAAGCAATTTTTTATTGCAGTTGATGTAATTTTCCAAAAAAACGTGATTAAAAAAATGTAAGATATGTATGTAGGATTGATAATTTACAAGGGTTGTGCGGTATCATAATTAAAAAGCTGTACCTTGATGAGATGAGAAAGGGCCTTTTTTGAAGGGGGAGGGACACATAGGGAGTAGTAAACAGTTAGTATTGTACGGATAAAATTTGATGCAGACTTGTTCTTATTCTATTTAGTGAAGTGAATGGGAAGGAACATAATCCTGCAGAAGACGTTTTGGCTACTGAAAAGATGGCCCCACAGGGACAGCTTGTTTTATTTGTTGGAATAGGTGCTTTAGTTTTTGTACCAGTATTCAAGGCCTTAACAGGGTTGCCCCCTTACATTGGTATGCTTCTTGGGCTTGGGGTGCTTTGGATCCTAACTGACGCTATTCACTATGGTGAATCTGAAAGACAGCATTTAAAATTGCCGCAAGCTTTGTCACGCATCGATACTCAGGGAATTCTTTTTTTCCTTGGAATCCTTCTCTCGGTGAGCAGGTAAACAATCAATAACTTAAATTTGTATTCTATTCTTACCCCGCTGTCATGATCTATGATTTGCATCTTTATTTTACTGTATCAGTTTTTCGTAATAAGACATGACTATAGTCTATAGTGCAATAGCAACTATCTCAACTCATCATAAAACATATGATGATGGTTTTGGAATCTCATATTATCACGCCTTGTTTAGAAGGTTGCCATAGGGAAGTCATTCTGGTGTAAAATATTACTACTATAGTACTATGATGATTTTGCATGGATTTGCAGTGTTAAATAATTTTAGATAGTTAAATGATGCGAAATTTCATGCCATAAATCCTAACTAGTTAGGATTATGGTGCTGATGATTAGTCTGCTCTCTCATAAATAGTTTCATTACTCACATGCGCATGCTGACAAATTGATCTACCTCTCTTAACCCCTAATTCCACCACTTCCAAAGGTGCAGATGAATTTTTGTATTTGCTCTACTACTCATAAAAGTAGGATTTCCGGTGTATAAAGCTAGCTTCAATTGTTACTATCTAAATGTTGTGTTGAATAGCCTTGAGGCAGCAGGTATTTTGAGAGAAGTGGCAAATTACCTTGACACCCATGTTCAAAATGTTGAGCTTATTGCAAGTGCGGTAGGGGTGGTATCTGCAATTATAGACAATGTTCCACTGGTTGCAGCCACAATGGGGATGTATGACCTCTCCTCCTTTCCTAAAGATTCAGAATTCTGGCAGCTGGTAGCATATTGTGCTGGTACAGGTGGGTCCATGTTGATTATAGGCTCTGCAGCTGGAGTTGCTTTTATGGGGATGGAGAGAGTTGACTTCTTTTGGTATCTCAGGAAGGTTTGTTTGTGTTTCGTTCTGGCACAGCTGATTTATTGATAGTCTGAGGGTTTGTTTGGATCTCCCACAATGCTTTGAAGATAAAGGAAAAAATGCTGATGAAAGTTTCTTGGGAAAATCAAAGGAAAATGAAATATTTGCTCAAGTGTTTTTACATTTAATATTTTTGTTTTTTGTTTTTTTTCTTACATTTAATTTTTACATATATATCTTGTATATATGTAGTACATACAACTGAAGGGGAGTCTTGGCATACGGGTAAAGGTGTTGCTATGTGACTGAGGAGGCATTGGTTCAAGTCTTGAGAGTGGTCTCTTATGAAAAATTGACTAGAGAAGGCTTGGACCTATACACCCTATTGGTGGTACCCTTCGCCGGACCTTCACCCTATGGGAATGCACATGTGCATCGGCTCCCCCCCCCCCCCCCCCCCCCCCCTTTTTTTAGTAATCATAATTAAGTAATGTGAGTATCAACATTTCATAGTCATTTTCATTTACCCCAGTGCCGCAATGGCTCCCACCTATGGTGTGGGATAAGGGGGGTCAGATGTACGCAGTCTTACCCCTGTACTAAAGCACAGAGAGACTGTTTCCGGATGACCCATAGTGAAAATCGCGTTCAAAATTGCATGGACTGACTGTTGTTTCATAACAAAGAAGCGCAGACAGTTTATTGAGGCATTTTACTTTATTCCATCATAATCTCAAGCCAAAAAATAGTGAATCTTTGGCTTCATTGCAAATGATGGAAAAAATACCTAAAATAAATTTATTGGGTTTTAGCTCATCTTTATTTGTCCATACACTTTCGTTCTGATTTTCATTTGTGTTTTCCTTCCCTATGATATTCTGGGTACCAAACGAACCCTAGTTCTGCCAAAAAATGTCTCTGCCTCTACTAGTTGAAACATTATTAAAAAAAAACTGTTGACCATTATGCAGGTCAGTGGATTTGCTTTTGCTGGTTATGCTGCTGGAATTGCTGCATATCTGGCTGCTCACAATCTGAACCTTTCTGAAGTTCCTTTCATTCCTGGTTCATGAATTGATTACTGAAGGATACCAACGACTCAATTGTGTAGGCAAAATCTCCACCTGATGGGAAGCAAATTTTCCATGGGAAAGTCTTTGCTTGAAGATTAAAGAGGCAAATGATGTTGATCAAATGATCACTACACTCCTTTATTTATTTATATTGGGTAAAAACTATACCTTTTTTTAGTTGTACAAGATTCTACATGAAAAAATGTATTTTTGCCAACAGCAGATTGAACTTTTCCAAGCACTCTATTGTTCATGAATTATGTACGTTGATGATGTACAATAATATGTTTATATGTTGTGATGTAAGATCTGGTTTTAAAACAATAATTCTTGCACTATCGTCTTGAATTTTATATGTAAGATTGTGCATTATATATCTTAATGTTTTGATAATGTACATTAACTATTAAGCATGATGTTTAATAGTTAATGTACATTATCAAAACATTAAGATATATAATGCACAATCTTACATATAAAATTCATTCTACAATTACATATAAAATTCATTCTACAATCGAAAAAAGTAAAAAAAGTTTATAAAATATATCTTAGCACCACCATAATATTTTTTTGCTTTCATAAATGTAAGCTTATAGTTTTAAAATACTTTGGCATATGAAATATGTATAAATAACAATAACAAATAAGTTTATAATGTTAATTGCACACTAAAAATGCTTAGAATATTTAAATATTTTATTCAACACTATAATTTTACATTTATGATAGAAAAACATATGATCAGTGTGCTAAAATAATTTTTAGATATTGAGGTATTTATATTAGATATGCAAGTTAATGGTGCTTATCTCACACCCTTCGAAAGTTCAGGGTGTTTAAAGTATTTTACACATTATTTACATATAAATCTCTGTGTATTTTAGATTATCCAAGTCTGATCTGGGACTGAAAACAGTTCAAGTGAAAAATCTTAAATACATTTATCAAGAATAAATTTTTAAAAATAATTATTTTAATTTGAATACATTGTAAATCCAACAAAGATGCGCTATTGTCTATGATGATAGAAAGTACGAAGAGAATAAATCGGTAAATAATGCCCAGCAGAACCACTGAAACTCAAAGTAAAATACACAATATGGTGTTCTAATAAAAATTGTTTTCAAAAATAGGCTTGAAAGGGGAATGAAGATGGAGATGTGAGGTTCATGATTCAGGCATTCAGCTATTGTTATAATACAATAGGCAGAAAAAGATGAAGGAGTCTTCATTATAGAGTAATAAACAGGAAGAGATGCTAAAACTTTTCAATATGTCTAAACTCCAGACGGCTATACCATGTGAATGTATGATGCTATATTACTATTTGAAAAATTCTATTTTGCACACACATCTCATTTAGGAAAACCACAATTATCTACGTACATAGGTGAGTGTAAAAAGTACACAAAATGTTACATCCCAAATTTTTTTGTATACACGGGCAGCTCCTTTAGAAAAAACAATAATTGTGTGAGTAAATAGGAGAGTGTGACAAGCATCCAAAATTTATGTACTATTTAGCTCACCTTTGACCTTTCTTATTATTCATTAAAGAATACAACTGATAGTCTTCACTTTGGGCCAATTTAAAACCGAATGCCGCAGAAAAGAGGAAATGTGAAGAAATTAGTTTTAAAAAAAAATGTTGAGAAAGCTTGTAATAAAAAATAGTTATCTTGCTCAAAGCCTCAAAGGCCAAGTGGCCCAAGTAAGTCAATATCTATATTATTACTATCAAGAATAAATTTTCAAAATAAAAAATCCAACTCCATAAAAAAGTACTGTAAAACCAATAAATAAAATAAGGTCTAGAACTGTTTCCATCTTACCAGATCAGACTTGAACAATTATAAAATACACAAAAATCAGACATTTAATAGACCAAACCAAACCAATTCAAACCCGATATTCCAAATCAAGTAAAAACAATATTGCTCGTGACACAACTGAATATGTTTTTATTTGAACCAAAATTTTCTAATCTGACTGGTCCAGTAACTGCCTAATCTTTGTGTATTTTAGATTATCTTAAATACATTTATCAAGAATAAATTTTTAAAAATAATTATTTTAATTTGAATACATTGTAAAACCAACAAAGATGCCCTGTTGTCTGACTATGATGATAGAAAGTAAGAAGAGAAAAAATCCATAAATAATGCCAGCAGAACCACTGAAACTCAAAGTAAAATACAATATGGTGTTCTAATAAAAATTGTTTTCAAAAATAGGCTTGAAAGTAGGAGTGGACTCGGGTCCGGGTCGGGCCTAGGCCCGGGCGGGCCGGCGGGTCAGAAATGGTGGACCCGGGACCGGTCCGGGTCCGGGCCAGGCCGGGCCCATTATAATTTTTTTTTTTGTTTTCCTCTTCCTAATTAACCCCCCTCCCACCCCCAACCCCCAAACCACCCCCAATGGCCCAAAATACCCAGCCCAACCCAAAAATTTAAAAAAAATTGAAAAAAAAATTGTTTTTGGCCCGAACCGGGCCCGGGCCCGGCCGGGCCTTGTTTTGGTGTCCCGAGCCCGGACCGGAAAACCCACGGGCCGGGCCTACCCGGACCGGTCACTGACCGGGCCACCGGGTCGGGCCGGGCCGGAACAGTACCGGTCCCGGGCCAGTTCCGGGTCGGGCCACCCGGCCCGAGTCCATACCTACTTGAAAGGGGAATGAAGATGGAGATGTCAGGTTCATGATTCAGCCATTGTTATAATACAATAGGCAGAAAAAGATTCAGGAGTCTTCCTTAGAGAGTAAAAAACAGGAAGGGGTGCTAAAACTTGATACTACTATCCAAACAAACATATAGAAGTAAAACAACTCTAATCATCTCCTCCAAAAAGATCAAAGCCCATCTCCTCATCGGTATCCTCTTCAACCTTCTCTTCCATTTTCTTCTCTTCAGCAGCTGGGGGAGCCCCACCGCCACTTGAAGGTGCAGCAGCAACAGCTGCCACACCACCACCACCGCTTGGTACGGAAGCTAATTTCTCCCTTCCAGCTGCAATCAACTCAGTGATATCTTTCCCCTCAACTTGAGACAAGAGCAACTCAAGCTTACTGTCATCGGCCTCGGCACCAACTAAGAAATCAGAGTTTTGATGTTAAAAGTAATGACAAGAATACAGAAGGACTAGAGTATTGCACATATGAAACAAATGAAGATTAGGATGTTAGCCAGCCCGTAATGCTTATGAAATTAAGGCTTGGATGTTATTGTTGAAGAACAATCGACCATACATCAAACAGGTTGGAAGCAAATGTAATCTCTTAAGAGTTGCAGCATTTTCATCTATATCTACTGTTTTTTCATAAGAAAAACAAGCTAAGTGCGGCATATTTTCAAAATTACTCGAGTCAGTGAGTAACTAAAGAAGAACAAGGACATACAATGGACTTTATATAGTAGTCATTAGAAAACATGATTGACAGAATAAATAGGATACAGATAAGTAAATAAGTTATTCATTCAACCCAGCATGTAAATAACAAATGCTACAAATATTTCTTAAACCTATCAATGTAAGAAAATGCTCATGAAAAGGGGAAAAAGCCAATGCAAGTTGAACTCTTGTGTTTGCTTTCGCATAATGCAAAGGAAAACAAATCATTCCTAATGCTTCAGATGTTTAATAAGATGTATAAATTCCTAGGTTTCTATATAGTTTTACCTTTAATGTCCAACCTAATTTCTTCTCCTAGCAAAATCAAGGTTCCAGTACTTCACAGAAGCCCCAAGTGACAAAGAACTGGACTCGAGTCCACTCTTTCGCACAAGAATTGTCTTGATTTATTAATCACAAAATCCCCTACTTCAATCCAATTAACATGCGATATAGTGGTAGTAAACTTAACCACGTAAATTGGTCAAAGAGACATAATAATGGTCTTCTTTCAAAACATCAATTTGAAATCATAAACTCTCAATTAACACGACGTTGCAGTCGAAAATATGTATATACACTGAACAGCTAACAAAACCTCACATACACAGATCATGAAACAGATACAAATTAACGTCAGATGCTGCATATGTAGAAATATCTGTAACTTAGATTGTGTCATACCAGAAGAAAGGATTTTCTTGATGTCACCGGCGGAAGGGCTGGCTTTGCCTCCGAGCACAGCCAACAAGTATGCGGCGATGAACTTCATGTCTCTTTTCCTCTATTACAGTTTCATAAAAAAGATTTATAAGATTGAAGTTAACTGCTGTGTCTACAAAAAAATTGAAAACAAATCTGAAAAAAAAAAACAGAGCATAAAATACACAAGCAAACTACATCTTCATGAACAAACTCAATGAAACCTGGACTACAATGAATAAACAAAACCAGAGCATTCAGTAAAAAAACTTGTAATGACTTTGAAAAAAAAACAGAAGAACTCCCATTAAAACAATAAATATGGAAAAATCAGGGCGTAACAAAACAAATCCCAAAAATCTGTCATGGAATTGAAAAAATCAGGTAAAATTCGCATTGAAAATAACAAACCAGTAAATTAAAATAACTCGCCACAAATCAAATCAAACTTATTTCAATTCCTAAAATATAACAGATTTAAAAAAATAAATTCAAAGTTAACAAAAATTTCGAATGCAATTTTTACCATATTTTACAGAATACAACACAGGTGTTAGTTATGAATTGTTAATCAAAATCATAAAAAATAACAAACATCCGCTAAGAAAAGAAATCAATGACAGGGTTTAGCAAAGACAATAGAATAGGCAGAGATTGAACGTACCTGCTTGGGGAAAGCACCGTTGAATGAAAAAAAAAATTGCAAACTTGGGGCGCACTGATGAATGAAGTTGGAGAAGAAAGAACGGCTTGAGCTTAGGGTTATTGAGGAAAGGCAGAAAAATGAAAAGGTTTTTCTTATTCTACCCTACATTCAAAGAAGATCCGGACTTCTTAAAAAAATTATTGGGCCAAAAGCCAATTTGAATCATTGGTAGACTTTTTGGATCGCGGAATTCCCAAAATGGGATTAAAAGAAGGTACAATTACAAAACTAGAACATGATGTTTTAAATTCCTTTAATAGAATTACCATGCCATGTCATCATATATACCAATTATTTAATTATTTTTTATATCTTTTGTTTTATTATTACATTCTGTTTTTATTACATGTTGATATAGAAATTCACCTTATTTAGCAACCTCAAAATCACGTACGAGGGAATCCAAGTTTAATGGATTCAATATTAAATTCAGAATTTTAACATGGATTCTACGTTAAAACATAGAATATTGAAACATAGTATACAAAAAGCCTATGTTATGGATCTTCAATTTCAATATTAAATCTAAAACGTAGTAGTTCAATATTAGTACACAAAAAGCCTACTAGGTAGGATACAAGTTATGGATCTACTACATAACGTTGGATTTAATATTGAATTAAATCTACGGTTTAGATCTTCCATTTAATATTGAAACATAGTATACAAAAAGCCTACTACGTACACAACTTAGTTTAATGGGTCTTCAATATCTTCAAGTTTAATAGATCTTCAATATTCAGAAAATTTAGAATTTAGAAACACAACTACTACGTTAGGCCATATTTTAGCTTCTAAGTTCACAATTTAGAAACATGTCTATTGGACCGTACCGAACGTTAGGCCAGATTTTAGTTTCTAAGTTCACAATTTAGAAACATGTCTATTATAAAAAGAAAGAGAATGCAAACTACATAAATGTATTTTCATTATTGACTTTCTCATTTGTTTGAAGAATTATATTGTTTAGTGCTCTTATATCAAGAATGTCATCACAGTAAGTTTCTACAGCATTTTTAATGATATATTATTGAATACTATGTACATATGATACTTTACCATTCACATGTTTATGATACATGATATTATGCATTATACATGATTCATTAATACTTCATAAAATGAAGAAATTATTCTCTTATACGTCAACTTGATACATCCAAGTCCGACTGGACAATCAAAGTTCGTGTTACACGCCTCTGTGATGTCACCAATCCCAAAAGGCAAGGCAACTTAATTTGTTTAGACATGGTTCTAATTGATGAAGAGGTATAGTATATTTCTCTATTTAAATTTGAAAATTTAAATGCACGTATTTTGTGCAAAAATCTAATGATATTTTTATTATGGTTTCAGGGTAATTATGTTCATGCATCTATAAGAAGTGGATATGTTCATACATTACGTCCCAAAATAAAGGAAGGAATGATACACATCATAAAAAATTTCTCAGTAGTTCCAAATAAAGAAGAGTATCGTGTTGTAGCCGACAATAAAATCATGCTACAATTCTTCCTGATAGACTATAAGTCTAGAGAGAAGTGAGAGCTAGAGAGAGAAGTAGTATAATTGCTTATAGGAAAAATTAGGGTTGGGCTCCCAAGTCTTGGGCTTGGGAGACCCATTTACAATAGGGCCACTAATGGGCTGGATACAAAGTACATAGAAAAGATTAAGCATAAAACCCTATTCTGGAGGTCCTCTGTGGCCGATGAGGGAACAGCCGACGAGGGCGTGGCTGACAAAGACCCGGCCGACGAGGTCACCCGACTCTTCCTGGCTTCTGGATGATGAGGGTCATCTGGCCGACGAGGGTCCCACCAGGTGGTCGTGGTACCTTCCATTCTCCTGAGTATGTGGGCCCTAGGGTCCTGGACCATATACTCCATCAGGAGTCCCCCACTCTCTAAGCTGAGATGTAGACGAAGTGAGGGAGAGTAGATTTCCTGTCTTTGAAGTTTTCTGGCCGTCGTGGGACCATTATGGGGTTCTCCCTATTTTGGCCGTTATTAGCATCCCTTGCTCTGGGTTTTTGTTTGCGCCGTTACGGGCACTTCGCGTTCTGGACGTTGTGTGGTATTCGCTGTGGACGAAGAGGGCCCTAGTAGTGCGGATGATGCATGTTTCCGGTTTCAAGGATGACAAGTACCTTTGCCTGGTGGAGACGATGTTTCTCTACTCCTGGCCGTTGATGATTGAACTTTGTACCCATGGCCGAGGAGACTATTGTGGTTATTTCCTATTCGAGGATGATGAGTGTCCTTCTTCCTCCGGGTAGCCGGTGAGGGTGTTTGGCCGCTGCGGCTCTCATTCTGTGTCTTTGGCTTGGTGTCCACGTTTTGAGGACGATGGGTTCCCGTCTTGATTTCTGGCCGGGAGTGGAGTATGCGGTCTCAGAGCCGTTGAGTGCACTGTGATCTTAGGTATTGCATCTTTGGAGGGAATTCTTTGTCTGCTTACCTTGCTGCGGTCGATGGTGTACGACAAGGTTATGGACGTTGTGGTGCATATATGATCTGATGTTGTAGTTGTGGACTTAGTATATTTTTGGATTTCTTTGGTTTTGTCCTCCTGATTTCCAAAGGCCGGTGTAGTCCCCCAGTTCCCCACTACTTCAGGCCGAAGAGTAAGTGAGGGGTGAAGGAGTAAAAGACTGCCCTAGGCTGAAGCGGATTCTTGCATTCCCGTGAATCCAATTCCTTGGCGATTTCCTGACCAAGGTAACCCTGTGGGAGAACCCTTGGACGCAGGTCGCTTTCAAGAAATTATCAACAAGGTTTTATACAAGGCCGATGGTTGTGGGGTTGCTTTTTGCTTTGCTGTAGTGGCCGTTGAAAAGGCCATGCTTTTGGCGTTCTGTTTAAGCCGATATGGACACACTTTGAGGTGTGATCTACCCTTTTGAAGTCATCCGTGTTGAGGCCGATGTAGGCGCGCTTTCTTAGGTTGACCGTTGCGTGCGCTGATTGTTGGCATTTTGGCGATGGGCTGGTACTGTGGAAGTGGGCCTGACCCGTTTACGAAGTGGTGGCATCCCATTGGTGGCCGTTGGTGTGGCCACTGGGGTGGTGCCACGTGTAGAGACCGTTGGGGGGAGCCTATAAATACCCCCTTTCTCCGAAGGGGTTCGCCCATTCGTTTTCAGAGCTAACGAAGTGCTGCCCAATTTTCTAGAGAGAAAATCCTTGCAAGTGTTCTTCACCTCCTTCAAACCTTCAAGGTCAGTTCTTCGACTTTTTCCTTGATTCCTTGCATACTTTGCTCCCCTTAGACTTTGATCCAGTGTTAGTCAAGGGAACGCCTTAGATCTGAAGTAGTTCCCCTTAGGTTTGTAATAGTTGTTATGATGAAGAACTTAAATGAAGAGTACTACCCTTACGATGATGAGTTCTCTGTTAAGTCCCTTGACTTCCGGGTAGTGGAGGAGTGTTGCGAGGAGATCGAGGACTTGAGTCCCTTGAGGTCGGGGGAGCAAGTGGACGATGAAGATGCGGACGAGGAAGTCGGTTCGTCGTCTGAGGGTGAAGACGCGGGGGTCTCCCGAGCCGTGGACGGAGCGTCCACCTCCACTGCCATTCCTTGCCTAAAACCGGTTTCCGCCGTTAAGGGAGTAGCTCCGAAGAGGAAACGTCGGCCGAAGAAGAGACCCGGTTTCTCCCAGCTGGACCTTAGCAATATTTACATTATCAAGCCGCAGTGTGGAGCAGCTGACTACCTGATTGCTCAGATGTACGTAGGGCCCTTTGGTAGGGTTAGGGCTCCTCGGCCGATGGACCGCGTACTTAACCCTCCATCGGGGTATTTTGGGGTGTATCTGTTGAGTTTTGCCAAAGGACTTCGGTTCCCGCTCCACCGCTTCATCATCGAGTACTTGGATATGGTGGGGCTTCCTCTAGCTTTGTTGTCCCCGAATAGTTACTCCCTGATCGTCGGGTTTCTTCTGCGTTGTGATGAGTTGGATTACAAGCCGAGGACGGCTTTATTCATGAACCTGTACCAGATCGGCCGAGGTAGCCATAAGAATTGTGCCGGCTACGCCAATCTCCAACAGCTACCGAAGAAGAGGAGCTTCAGTGATCTCCCCACGTCCATTCATGGTTGGAAGTCGAAGTTCGTCTTTGTATCGTTGGGCGAGGGGGGCACCGAGTTTCCTTCCCTCGGCCATAGTGGGTGTTCAATCTCCACGATACGCTGAAGAGTTCCAATCTGGACGCTCAAGTTGTTGCGTTCCTGGAAGGGGAGCCGAGGAGCATGAAGGATTATATCACAGAGTATAACATGACCGCCATCGGATTCTTTAGGTTCTTCGTGTATGGTGACAAGGAGGATGATGTCGAATTGTGGCCGAAGATGACCACTACCTTTGAGGAGGCCGACGGCCCGGATTTGGGGCTACCCGCCGAAGCTGATGGTAATACCTCGCTCATCGGCCTCATTACTTGTTTCTTTCCTTTTCCTTGCTAACTTGTTTTCTTTGGTTGTGCAGACTTTGTAATGGATCGTCGATCCGTTATGAGCAGGGCCAAGGTGAAAGCGGCCGAAGAGCTGGCTGCCAAGGCGAAGGCGGAGGAGGCCGCAAAGCTGGCGGCAGCAAGTGGGGCGCCCCCGAGTGCTGATGTGCCAACGAAGCTACCCCCACAGCCAAAGAAGAAACGGCCGGTGGATGGCAGTCAGAAGAAACTTACTGAGGCCGGTCTGCAGCCCTCCAAAAAGTCAAAGAAGGATGTCACTGATTCCGTGGCTGGGGTTCTGACTGTCCCAGCTGGGGACGAAGGGGGTTCCAGTGCCGCCGCTATGGTGGACCTTACTTCTGGTCCGTCGTTTGACGTTTCTCAGCCCCTCCCCCTCGTCCAAGAAACTAGGCCGAAGCGGTCCGGCAAAGAGGTGGCCACCGCCACGTACAAAAAGCAGGTGGAGTATCCCGTGGACGGGGGCGTCTTCAACGAGGTTGTTGACGGCCATGATGTGCTCTCTCAGGCCATCCCGGCCAAGGACCGGGTCTACCTCGACAAGCTCGGGAACGTCAGGATCTACGACGGTGGGATGGACCTCGTCGTCCAAGTAAGTCCCTTTTCTTTCACTATGTTGTTTTCCTTGATTGCCTTTGCGAATGCACTGTCTAACCGTTTCATCTTTGTAGGGTGCCTTTATGCTCATGGAGAGTAATAAGAGGCAGCAGCGGGAGATT